TTTTTTGGTACCAGGGATTGAACTCAGGTCCTTGTGGTTGCAAGGCAGGCGGCAGAACCACTGAGCTAAATCCCTGGCCTAAATAAACATTTTCTCAAAAAAACCCCCAAAAAACAAAAAAACCCATTTTCTCCTTTAATTTTGATTGTCGGGTATTTTGTCTCAGCAATGAGAGAAAAGTAACCAAGACAATAGTGCCTTGTTTAATTGGGTGTGGTGGCACATACCTGTGATGCCAGCACTCTGGAGGCTGAAGCAGGAGGATTGCCAGGAGTTCAAGGGCAGTCTGAGCTACATAGTACTGCACAGGGAGACCCTGCCTGGAAAGAAAAACAAAAGTACCTTGTCTATGCTTTGTTTTTTGTTTTGTTTTGGTTTTTTTTGGTACCGGGGATTGAACTTGGGTCCTTGCGCTTGCAAGGCAGGTGGCAAAACCACTGAACTAAATCCCCGGCCCTGTTTTTTATTTGTTTTGTCTTGTTTTTCATTCTTTGGAGACAGTGTCTTGGTAGGCAGCCCAGGCATCCTTGAACTCCAATATCCTCCTGCCTCAGCCTCCCCAGCACTGTGATTACAGGTGTGTACCTTCATGCTCAGCTATGCTCTGGTTTTATCACTTGTTTATCCCTTTCCTCCTAGAATGAAAGAGGATAGCTCCAAGAGGATTCCTGTGTCCGTTCTCTCTGCTATGTCCTGGCATGCAGGATAGCAACTAGTAGGTGGTAAATGCTTCGTAGATAGTTGTTAAGTGGGCAGTGAGCAAGAGCAGGGAGCCTGTGCTGGACCGGCGCTCTGCTCTTCCAGCCCCTCCCCAGGACTGGGCACCCCTTGACCTTCAACTCTCCCACCCCTGGCTGCCCCGACCCACACACGACTGGGGCTCCTTTGCTCCTGCTCTCCATGCTTGCACCTTCTTGGATCTTGCTTGCTCACAGCTCCTATGTGAGGTGTGCAGAACATAAGGCAAAAGCCCCTCCTGTGTCTTCTTTCTCAGTTCCAGGTCTCCACCCTCTACCCCAGCTCCTGATGACCTCCACAGATCTGTGCCCGGACCCCTCCCATAGGGCCTGCTCCACACAGCTTTCCAAGGCACCTGTGAAATGGCCCTGCTCCTGCTCCATGATGTTCTGTGGTTCCTCAGTGCCTGAAGATAAATCGAGTTCTGCTGCAGAGATCCACTGCCCTGTAAGATTTTACCCCATCCCTCAGCTACATGTTTTCTATTATTCCACATCTTCCTCCTGGGGATAGAACCCAGAAATGCTCTACAACTGAGCTACATCTCTTGTTCTATATTTTATTTTTGTTTTGGGTACCGGGGATCGAACTCGGGTCCTTGCGCTTGTGAGGCAGGTGGCGGAACTACTGAGCTAAATCCCTGGCCTGTTCTGTATTTTAAATTTGGGGACAAGATCTTGCTAAATTGCTGAGGTGGGATTCAAATTTAGGGTACTCCTGCCTCAGTCTGCCTAAGTACTGGGATTCTAGGCATGTGCCGCCATGCCCAGCTCTGGTTCCAGTGGAACTGCTTCCTGCTCCCGTACATGCTGTCTGGGGGAGAGCCCATCGCTCCTTCTCATTCTTCAAGACCAGTTCATATCATCGTCTCCAGGAAAACTTCCTTGATTCAGAAGACTTGCCAGTCTCCTCTAGGTCCTCTCACACACTGTTTTGTGCTGCATCACAATAACAAGAACCAGTATTTATTAAACCCTCAAGTGAAGCCAAGAATGGTGAGTGTCTGCAAGTGCCCAGTACCCGGGAGGCTGAGGTCAGAAAACCACTTGAGCCCAAGGGTTCAAAGCCAGAGAGCACAGCTCACAAAGGGGTGGGGAACAAGGGGGGGTCACCCTTGCTTAGCAAGTACAAGAATGGGTTGGTTTTTTTTTGGTGCCAGGGATCGAACTCAGGTCCTTGCACTTGTGAAGCAGGCAGTGAAACCACTGAGCTAAAACCCTGGCCCAGAAGGCTGGGTTTGATACTCAGCACCGAAAACAAAACAACAAAATCCCAGTAAAGTGCGTGGTTGTATGCTACATAATTTCATTTAATCCTTACACCAACCTTATGAGATACTTGCTATTATCTCAGTTTTACTTTTTTTGGGGGGGGGTACCGGGGATCGAACTCGGATCCTTCCACTTGCAAGGCAGGGGGTGGAACCACTCAGCTAAATCCCTGGCCCCTATTATCCCAGTTTTAAAGATGAGGAAACTGAGGCACAGAAAGGCGACTTGAGCAAGGAGTGATCTGCCCAAGATTGCACAGCACAGAGCAAGTGAGTTAGGACTGGTCCCGGATGGTCTGATTCAACCTTATTCCTCACTGTTCCTTACATTCTTTCTGTGAAACAAGCCTGCCTTGTTCTCCTTCTGCTGGAAAATCTGCCCCACGCCAGCTCCTCCTCCCACATGGGAAACATAGCCATCTCCTCTGGAAGCATTTTCCGGCCAGTCAGGCTGGCTGCCCAGCAGACCCTCTCCACTTCCCGTCACAGCTGATCACCCTCTCCCAGTGGACTCTGGGGCCCAGCAAAACCACGCGGGCCTCAGGTGGTGCTGAATGGAGGCATGAGGGTGTCAGCTCTCCCAAGTGGAGTCCCTTATTGGTCAGTGCAGCCCCTGCAAAGAAAGGACTTCATACAAAGCCCCTGGATGTGGTTTTGTTGAGGCTCCCAGTTCGCTGCAGACTCCCCCAGCCAGGATGGCCGCATCCTGTGTCCTGAACCCCAGCCCGTGTTTTCTGTTCAGATGGGACTTCAGAGATGGTAGAAATCTCTAGGCTTTGTCAGTTTCCAGTCTTGTTGACAAAGAGCAGTGAAACTTTGGGGGCATCATTTTCTCTCTCTGAGCCTGAGTTTTCTTATCTGCAAAACAAGGCTGTTGTTGGTCTCCATGCTCTGCCTCCTTAGAGGGCTTCTTTACATTTTTTTTCTTCATTTTTCTAGTGATAAGGATTGAACCCAGGGCCTTAAAGATGCTAACCACTTACTCTACTACTGAGCTTTCTACCTGGCCACCTGCTTTACACTCTCAAAAGTGTAAACTATTGATACAAATTTACTCATTCAACAAATGTTTATTGCACATTTACGATCTCATACATATTATCCCACTCAGATTTCAGTCTTCATGGCAAATCTCTGAGGTAGATGATATTAACCTTCCTTCCCTTTGCAGATGAGGAAACCGAGGCTCAGGGCCATGTGACTTACTAGCAGCACTCTGCCCTGCCCAGCTGCCAGGGGATGGGTAACCAGGTTAGGCCAAATCCTGCCTCTGGGCCCTCCCCCAGGCCCGAGTCCCTGTCAGCATTTACCTCCTCACCAGGTAAGGAGCCAGTGGCTGTTGCCTGAGATAAAGGAAAGGCCTCCTGACACTTAGCTGCACCTGCTACTGAGGTAACACTGTGAGAAGAGTGCACGGTCTCATTCTCTTCTTCTCTTCTCTTTTTTTAAACAAAAGAATAGGAAAAAGGTTGTCAAGTTTAATCTGTTCCATTTCTTTGTTTCTGTTGTTTTGAGACAGGGTCTCACGATGCAGTTCAGGCTGGCCTAGAACTCACTATGTAGCCCAGGCTGGCCTCAAACAGTGATCCTCCTGCCTCAGTGCTGGGATAATAGCACTGCCTCCTTCTGATTGCTGGGATAACAGCTATGTGCCACCACACCCAGCTTAATCTGTTTGATCTTTACAGGCACTTTTCTTTCTACAAGTCTGGAAATTTGAGGGACCCTTGAAAGAAGCCTAAGGGATGAATTTCAGTTCCCAAGTCGCGGCTTCAGGAGCCAGGCAGCCTTTAGTGCCAAGGTTGGGCTCAACTCCAGCCTTGGGGGGCCATTCACCCGCACTCCTTGAAGATGTCAGGATAATGCCGGAAGAGCACAGGTGGGTCCCGGTCACCTCGGACTGGGGCCCGAGGCACGGCTCGGATCCCAGGTCTCCGGCCCCGCCGCCCCCCGGAGCAGGAGCGATGGATCCACTGGTGAGCTTCCACGGCAAACTTCCTCTTGAAGCGCATGCCACACTCGGGGCAAGGGAAGGGCCGCTCTCCGGAGTGCATGCGCCGGTGACTGACGAGCAGGGACGGGTAGGTGAAGCGGCGGCCGCAGTCTGCACACACGTGGCGCCGCTGGTTGTCCTGAGCATCCCCAGTGGCCGCAGGGACAGGAGGCTGTGCCACTGCCATCTGGCCCCAGGCAGCTTTTGTGGGTGGCTGCGATGCTGCTGAGACCATGCTGACAGAGGAGTCCGGACTGTGGTTATCCAGCTCTTCAGGCAGCTCCTTCTCGGGAGTCACTCCAGGTCCCTTCTCTCCCGGCTCTCCTTCAGGTTCCTCCTTCCTGGGTGGGGTGCCTGCCAGGGAAACAGGAATTTAAAACACTTTTCAAAGGCCATCTCAGGTTGTAGTGTCATTTACTTACGGTAGTGCCAAGAGTACCACCCAGTGATCAACAAGCACATTCTGGTGGAAAGTAAACAGTTCAAATCTCCTCTCTTATCTGACAGATGGGAAAATAATTTTTTGACTTCACAGGGTTGTTGGGAGGATTACGAGTGCATGCATGGTCAGCACTTAGTAAATGCTCAGTAAACAGATGTAATATTAGTGTGGTTTCCTATTTAGGTATTGTAGAGCAAGACTTTTCTAGATGTGGAGACAAATTTACTCCCTGAAGGATGGTGAGGGAAGAAGAGTCCAGCTGTCAATTACTGGTCAATTTTTCTTGTACCATTTTGCCTTGCTTGAGAAATTGAAAGGCAGACCTGAAGTTGCTTTCACTTTTAAGGCTGTTTTACTCCTTCTTGAAAGAGGGAATAGCCAGGTGTAGTGGCCTTGTATCCCAGCACACCTCTATAATCCTAGCACTTGGGAGGCTGAGCCAGGAGGATCATTTCCAGTTTGAGGCCAGGTGTATTCTCCAAGAGGGACCTGGAAACCTAGAAGTTTTGGATTTGGTCTCCTGGTTCTCCAACTCTGTCTTAACATGACTACTGTCCCAAGTCTGAAAATTCTGTATGTATTAGGCCTGCCCTCCTTTCTCCTCCAGTGTTCAACATATATTGGCTGTGTGTGTGTGTGTGTGTGTGTGTGTGTGTGTGTGTGTGTGTGGTGGTAATGGGGATCAAACCCAGAGGTACTCTTCCACTGAGCTATAGCCTCCCAGTCTTTTTTACTTTTCTATTTTTTTACTTTTGAGACAGAGTCTCACTAAATTGTCCATGTGGGACTGGAATTTTCACTCCTTACTCAGCCACCTTCAGTGCTGAGATTACATTTTGGTGCCACTGTGCCTGGCTTTAGCTCTTTAATCTCTTTCGGGATGCTGGAATTGTGGGACCTGAAAAAAAACACTGCTAGACCAGAAACCCTGTAAAACCAAGCCAGGGGAGTCCTGGGACCATCCCTCACCTTTCAGAGCTCCGACCAGGCTTTCCCCCTCCTCAGGATCCTGGGCGGCGGAGCTCCAAGCCTCACTCTCCTGTTCCATCCAAGAGATGAGGGCTGGTTTGGGGCCCGGGAATCCTGGGAGAGAACAGGGATCACAGTGCTGGCCTGAGAGGCTGTCCTGGGAAGGTGGCATCCCCAGCCGAGGTGAGGGTACCTCCACGGAACTTAGGCTCCACTCAGACAGGGTCTGCGGAGCTCCTGCCTCAGCGAAGCGGCGGTGGGACAGGCTCCCAGGGGGTAGGTAGCTAAAGCCCTGGGAACAGGTGGCTGGCGCTGTCGGTGGAATAGTGCAGGACTAGAGCTCACGACGCAGGCGGTCCTTCCACACCATCTCCCCTGCGAACCTGGTGAAGGAGGTGGGGGGACTCTGGCCCGGGGCCTCACCGAGCGCGCTCAGGAGGCCGTAGGTCTCGCGCATCACGTCCCGGTACAGGGCCCTCTGCGCCGGCCGCAGACAGCCCCACTCCTCCGGGGAGAAGTACACGGCCACGTCCGCGAACTTCACAGCCCCGGGCTTCCCGCGACCAGGCTGGGTATCCCCGGGTCGTGGCGCCAGGAGGAGGCGGCCTGGGGGTGGCGCCATGGGGCCCCGAGCACTGGCCGCCTCGTCCTCGGGGCCACTGCCTCCCCGCTCCCGGCCTCAGCTCTCGCCGTCCACGGGAAGGGCCGTCCAGGCCCCGGCCCTGCCCAGCCTTGGGCTCCGATCGCTGCCTGGAATGGAAACCACAATAGCAGGGACTTGCTGCTAGGGTTTCAGGGGTTCTGGTGGAGACAAATAAAACTCCTAGGTGTTTATTCACTTCATGGCCGCTGGACTGAGATGCGGGTTAAAGGACCCGGAAGATGCCTTTAGAAAATATGGCGGTAGCTTGGCTTCAGTTGCCACTGGTTGTACTTAAGGGCCTCTTTCTTGAGCATCTCAAATATGGCGCCTTACTGGCTCCTCTGGCTTTAGGTCCCCACTTGGCCTTAAAAACAATGGCCGTTTCAGGAGCTTTTGCGTCGGTAGTGGGGGAGGATTGGCCAGGAAATCCCGAAAAACGTTCTTGCCTTCAAGAAAGATGGACACAGAGGCGGTTTCACCTGTCTTTCTCCAGCGTGGATGCAGAGCGATCAGTGATTGGCTGTAACCAAGTGAAGAAGCTGCGTCGTGATTGGCTCCGGACTAGACTGGCGGAGCATTTGAAAGGCTCTGAGCCCAGGAATCCTCTGACCGAGAGAAATGCCCGGAAGACCTCGGCTCTAGAGGGTCCCAGGATTGTGAGCGCGAAGGTCTTCGAGCAGGCCTCCCCGCGGCGGGATCTGCAGTCTGGTCGCCAGCCCTGGGGGAGGACGTACCCGGAAGACGTACCCACCCACCCTGGCGAACCCAAGCCGAGGAAGAAGCCAGGTGTGTACACCTTTACAGCTGAGGAGCCTTCAGGACCGTTTGCGTTCTTGGCTCCGCTCGTTCGTTCTCTGGAACGAATTTAGCGAGGATGGAACGGGAGTGGGGAAACGTTAAATTACAGTGTGCTTTTTGCTAATTATGAATGTACGTGTTTTTAAAAAAATAATTTAAAGCTTGATGTGGTGGCGCACGCCTGTAATCCCATCATTCAGAAGGCTGAGGCTGGGGGATCGCAGTGAGTTCAAGACCAGCCTGAACTGCATTTTCATTTTTATTATTTATTTAGAGGCAGGGTCTCGCTACGTATTCCAGGCTGGCCATGAACTCACTAGCCCAGATTGACCTCAAACTCATGGCGATTCTCCTGCCTCGGCCTCACACGTATATGCATCACCAGGCCCAGCTGTTTTTTTTCTTTCTCTCTCTCCCTTTCTCCCTTTCTCCCTTTTCTCTCTGACAAGTTCTTGCTTTGTACTTAAGGCGATCCTCCTGTCTCAGCCTTCCAACTGGCTGGGATTACAGTTGTGTATGGTTGGTTGGGTTTTGGAGACAGGGTCTCCTTATGTAGTCCAGGCTTACTTTGAGTTTTTTTGGTACCAGGGGTTGAAAACAGGACCTTGTGCTTTCGAGGCAGGCAGCGGAACCACTGAGCAAAATCCCCGGCCCTAGTGAGCACTTTAAAGGAAGAATAAAGAGATAGGAGAAAGGGGTGAGTCTAAGTAGAGTCTGGGAAGTGAAAAATTACAAAAGTCAAGAAGGATGTGTTCATCCACAGGAAACCCACGTGGGCTTGCTAACTGGCACTTATCAAAGTTGTGCCCTTACCCTCCCAGAGCTGGGAGACAGGGACCCTGTCTTCAGGTGCTGGTTGGAGCAAACAGTAAATTCTTTTGGCAGCCTAGGGTAGGTACTTTAAGGGGCATGGGGTCATCCTAGGGATGTGGCCTTGAGCTGTCAGAAACTGTTAGTGTTTTGTCCAAGTGCTTATAGGCCAAGGTTGAGGCCTAGTGGGGAAATGATGCTTGGCCAAGGAGAGAATCATTCTTTTTTTTTTTTCCATTCTTAATACTCATCACTTTAGTTTCTAGTCCCATTCCCCTCACCTCTTTTTTTTGGTACAGGGATCGAACTTGGGACCTTGCGTTTGCGAGACAGACCGTGGAACCACTGAGCTGAATGATTCCCCAGCTTGCCTCACCTCTAATCCCAAAATAATTAATGTAATAAAGTATTATAAATATTTCTCGCAAGTAAGTGACTCACATGCTAAACTGTCAACCTGATTGGCTTAGGAGTCACCTAGGGGGTTAGTGAATCCAACTTTTGGGTGTTTCTGGTCAGTCGTAGACACGAAACTCCTCCACCCTTCCTTTCCCTCTGGCCCTGCTCCCATTCTCTGCTTCCCTGCCAGCATGAACTGAGCAGCTTTTCTCTGCTAAGCCCATATGCCATTATGGTTCTGCCTTGGACTGACTCTTCCAAAACCTTGAGCCTAACAAACCTCTCCTCCTATAGGTGTGGGTGTCAGCTGTTTGGCTGACTGATACAATATGCTATGATTGTATTCCTTTCCTTCTTTTCATACTGGGGATCGAACTCGGGTCCTTACGCTTTCGAGACAGGCGGCGAAACCACTGAGCTAAATTCCTAGCCTTCCTCTTCCTCCCTCTTCGCCTTCTTCACTGGAGAATGAACACAGGGCCTTCACACTAAGCTACATTCACAGCCCTTTTTATTTCTTATTTTGAGATGAGAGGGTGGTTTCATGCTAAGTTGCTAAAGTGCCTAAATAGGCCCAAGTTAAATTGACATGAAATTGTGATCTTCCTGCCTCAGCCTTTTACACTGATGGGTTACAGGTGTGTATTACCACACCCAGCACTTTACCGTATTTCCATTCTTATTTGACTGCTTGAAGTTTCAAATTATCTTTCTCCTTGCATTACCTACCTTTTAACTTGTTCCAAATTACCAAGGATATCATCAACTCTTAAATCTTTATTTTTCTCCCTTGGGAAACCTCCCTCCTTGAGCTTCATTTCCTGAGTCTCAGGGCCTCAGCTGTCATCAGTCTCCCTTTCTGCTCTCCTGGATTGTATCTTCTGCTTCCTAGATTCAGTGTTTTCCTCTTTAGTTAGGTTGAGTTCTCTTAATGGCTGGTGGTATTACATTCTAGGTAAGAGACACCTTCCCCACGTTGGACTATCCCTGCCATTAGGAAGGAAGTCCCTGCACTGAGAAGGGGCTGTTCTTGAAGAAGGAAAGTGCGACCCAGCAGGTGTCTGCAGTCAGGAGCCCCGCCTGGCCCTGGAGCCACCTGGTGACTCCCCACTGCTCTAGTTCATTCATGACAGGCCTTCACTGTGGACAGCACCAGTGCCTTTTCAGAAAAGACTTCTGTCTCCATTCAGGCCTACCTTGGCTGTTACTCTTCCAAAAAACTTCCTAGCTTGCAGTCACTTCTATTGATTTCCCTTCCTAACAATCACGTTCCTACTTTACAACTTGAGCTCTGGCCGTGCCTCCCTGTACTCATTGTGTGGTTAACAGTGAAGGGCGATGGAGTGAGGGAACATAGACCTTCAGAAGTGAGCCTCCATTCATTTAGGGTTTTTTTTTTTTCCCCCTTTCATTTAGTTTTGAGATGGGGCCTTGCTATGTTGCCTAGGCTGGCTTTGAAGTCCTGGGCTCAAGCAAGTCTCCTGCCTCAGCCTCTGGAATAGGTGGGACTACAGTATGGATGTGCCACTATCCCTGGCAGTAATTTATTTTTTCTTTTCTTTCCTTTTTGTTCTTTCCTTTCCTTTTTCCCTCCCTCCCTCCTTCCTTCTCTTCTTTTTGCCACCACATCTGGCCAGTTAGGTTTAATGCTTTTGTTTTCTATGTTCAGGATAAGCATGGGGCAGGAGAGTTCCCTGCCTGAGGCCACTGACCTTTGTGGCTGTTGCTAGGTCTCCAAGACACCACATGTGTCTGTCCTGTGGTTTACCTGCATTGGCTGCATGGCATGCTGGGATGAGCGCCCTCCCCGGAGGAGTTAGGACTAAGATGTGCCCTCTCTTCCGAGGGACCCAGAGTGGGTACAGCATCTTTTAGTAGGTTGTGACCCATCTGTGATGAGCAGCAGAGATACAGGGCAGGAAGCAGAGTGCTCTGAGGAAGAGACCAACCCAGGAAGGAGAGCCAGTTAGGTGGATAGTTATAGTGAAGTAGTCCTACTCAGGGCTTAGAATAAGGGGCTGTGTGACTAGGTGGCCCAGCAAATGAGTTTAGCTGTCAAGCATCTTTTCAGATTTTTCTCCTTTTCCTCTTTTTTTTTTTTTTTTCTTATTTAAAAATTGAGACAGGGTCTCACTGTGTACTTCAGGCTCACAATAGACTATGTAGCCAGGCTGGCCTCAAATTCAAGGCAATCCTCCTGCCTCAGCCTCCTGAGTGCTGGGATTAAAGGTATGCACCACTATGCCTGGCTCCTTTTCTCTTTTTAAAATATAAAATATGGTTTTATTTCTAATTTTTAGTACCTATACATTTAACAAATACACTTTTACTCTGTGACTTTTTTTTTTTTTTTTTGGTACCGGGGATTGAACTCGGGTCCTTGTGTTTGCATAGCAGGCGGCGAAACCACTGAGCTAAATCCCCGGCCCTTACACTTTTACTCTGATAATACATCTTTGCAATTAGCAAAGGCCTTGAAGTAACTCCTGCTTCCTTCCCAAGGTTTACCTCTGCTTGTTTCCTAACACAGAACTTTGTTTTCCTTAAATGCTCACTTCCTTTCCAAACCTCTCCAACCTAAAATCTTGCTTCTTTTATTCCTGAGAAAACTGATCAACTTGTGTGAGCCTGTCACCCACACTCGTTAAATGTATCTGGAAAGTACCAGAAGTGAACTGGGGGATCCTTCCCTCCCGAGACAGAGAGGGGATCTGGTACCCACAAGGCAGCTTGCTCCCCGCTCAGCTTCTTACCGCCAGAACAATGGACACTGATGCACCTCCAGAGCATACTTCCACTGGGAGCCTTTGCCACTCTTGGGGCAGGGCACGGGCCAGTGGTCAGGGTGAATGCACCAGTGACTGAGGAGCAGGGAGGAGTAGGTGAAGTGAAGGCTTCGGTCAGAACAGGTGTAGGGCTTTGCCCAGCAGGTAGGGTTAAGTGAAGCAACTCTTGCAGTGGGGCCGGGGTATGCTTCTCCCCAGGGTGAGCCTGCCTATGGATGCCTAGGAGCTCTGGGGGCTTATGCGGGACCCACAGTGAGGCTTTTCTCCAGTGTGAGTGAACTGGAGCTGAAGCAGGCACTTTCGCTGGGAGAAACTGAACAGGAAAGTGATTTCTGACCAGAAGGAACCCGTGCTGTAGCTAACTGGGCAGCAAGCAAAGGCTCCTCCTGGCTCCGACCTCTCCCACACCTAAAACATGTCGGGGTCTCACTCAGACTTGCCCAACATGTTTTCTGCCAGTTCTCAGTAGGGTTTCTGTGACCCCTGCTTCCCACCATATGTAAATAAGGTGAACCTTAGTGTACCTTTCTATCTTACTGTGTAAGCTGAATGTACCTCAACCTGAATGTACCTCAAATGAACTGATGTTGAGTGTCTTGCCACAGTATTCTCACCCCTCTTTTCCAGATCTATATAAACCGTGTTCACCACCCAGATGGGACTGACTGCTTGGCAAAGAAGTCCCCGATCAGTCCACTAGTGAACTAAATCTGCTTCCAACTTCCAGGGTGTGTGCTCAATTCTTCTGGGCCTGACTGTTATACAACCTAGAGTACAACACTGTGAGTTATATTTGCTACAATAAAATGAATCTGGCACTGGTCACTGTGGAAAGGCCTTTCCCCATAGCGGACCTGCTGGTAGCTGGCCAGGAGGAAAGGGAAGTAAACTGCAGCCACCATCTGGGCAAGAGTGGTCTGCAGGGTGCACTGTCCTTGAGCCAAGGCTTGATGGGTCCCTGGGTGGGGGTCCAGCAGAACTCTGAGTAGGCACCTTTGGCAGGATTGGAGCCAGCTGGCATGCTGGCTGGCAGCCACTCCTTGAGAGACATTTCATTTTCCATCTCTTTTTTTGTTTTGGTCTCTTCTTCAACTCTTCTTTCCCATTTCCATCCTTGGATCCTGAGACAAGAAGAAAGAACTCAAAACTTAGAGGCATGTTCTAGACCTTGTCCTGCCCTAAAAGTTAGCATAGAGTAAAAGCTGATTTCCAGGGCGGGTGGTGACACATGCTGGTTAATCCCAGCACTTGGGAGGCTGAGGCTGGAGGATTGCGGTGAGTTTGAGGCCAGCCTGGGCTACACTGAGTTCAAGGCCAGGCTTGCCTACATAGTGAGACTGTCTCAAAACAAAAGGAAATTCCATTGTCTGCTGGTTAACACAAGGAAGGCTTTGAATACTAAGAGGTAATGATGCAGAGTCAACAATATTGAACACCTGTGCCAGGCAGTGATGGTCCCACACCCCATGAAGTTTACAATCCCAAACCTGTTTATGATCTTTGCAAAACATGCATTAAATGACCTTCCTTGGTGCCACTGGAGGTCATCACCAAGATGTCTACAATTGGACTCACACTAGGATCTATGGAAGACCTGGGAACAAATTTGTAATGATGGCTGCAGAAAAAACCTTTTGCCTTCGTTTTATGATCTGTTGAGGCATTCTCTACAACACTGTGAACACATAATATCAAGAACAGGCAAAGTGGAGTATTTGTTATCCCAGCACTCGAGAGGCTGCGGCAGGAGGGTTACTATGAGTTCAAGGCCAGCTTGAACTACATAGGAAGACTCCTGGCTATTGTGGCTTTTCCTCAGGATAGCCCGCCCTGCTTTCTCCAGGGTGTCCTTTTATCTTACTTTTGCCTCTTTTACTCCCCAAACTCGCTCAGCAGAGCTAAGTTTCTCCCCTACTCTTCACTTTCTCAAACTTGGCCACTGCTTTAAAAAAAAATCTCTATTAATAGTCTTCGTTTTATTACACAGCGGAGATCAAATTAAATCTCTTTTCCCTATCCCTTGACCAAAAATAAGAGAATCTTGCCAGTGAAGTGCACAGAGCGGCACCCGGACATTGGGGCAGCGTAGGCTGAGGACCGAGTCGGAGGCGGGACTGGTGTTAGAATGAGGCGCCTAGTCTTTCCTTGCCTCTGCTAACAGCTCCTCGGCTTCCGGGCTCGTGCCTCCGCCTCTCTTCCACCCAGGACATAAAAGCGGGTTTGGGGCCGGTAAGTCCTGCAAAGGAGAAACCCTGAGCTCGGCGGAGAACACAGGAGGGCAGGATGAGGTGGCTTCCTCATCCCCGTTTCCCGCGCGCTAGCCTCAGGAACATTGGTGCCCCTTCCCACGTTACTGGGGGCGCCTGGCGCGTCCTGTCCGGTACGGGGCTCTCCGCGCCGGCCGCGACACCCCGACTCCTCCGGGGAGAAGCATATGGCCACGTCCGCGAGGGTCCCGGTCCCTGGCGCGCCTCCCAGGGTATATGCGCCACGGGAAACCCTCTCAAACGCTGGCTAATACAGGCTTCCGGGACACGTGGGAATGCTACAGCTTTACGGTTTCCTCGGGGAAACCCATCAGGGCCCACAGCGCGGGCCTTAACCGAGATGACACGTCTGACGTCATCACGCCTTGCCCTTCTCCTTCTGCCCTTCAGCACCTGGGAACCCGAAAGGAAGGGTGGGCCGGGCTGCGAGCCCACGGACGGGAGCCGTGTGTTGATTGGACAGCGGAGGGAGGCCCGGGAAGAAGAACGGCCGTGGTTGGTGTTTCTGGAGCGGCCTGTTTGAAAGGCTAAGGGTGAAGAAACGACAAGTGTGGAAGTGGCCGGAGCTGAGGGGACACTAGAATGCTCCCGAGTCGCTTTTCCCGGGCAGCAACTTATCAGACAGGTTCTGGCAGGTTGACGCTACTGCTATTTATATGAGACTTCTTAGGGACAGGTCCAGGTGCTCGGGGCTTTGAGGTGAGTAGACGCCGAGCCGCGAAGGCGGGCGGATTCGTCCTGTCGGGATCTTGTGCCCTCGGTTGTTAGGGCGGGACAGATTTTTACCCCCGGTATTGGGAAATTGAACCCGGCGACTTCTCACGGAGTTACATTTCCAGTCCCCTTTTCATTATTTTCTACTTTGAGGTAGAGTCTCGCTAAGTCGCTGTTTCCCAGATCGGGCTCGAACTTGTGAACCTCGGCTTCAGCCTTCCAGAGTGCTGGGATTACAGGCGTGTACCACCCCGGCTAGATATCTTACCTTTGAAATTTTTATTTATTGTACCGGGGATCGAACTCGGGACGTTGCGCTTGCGAGGCAAGCGGCGGAACCACTGAGCTAAATCCCCGACAATGTCTTACTCTTTAGAGATGCAGAAAGTCGGGTGACTGCTCTTAGGCTGCAGAACCCATATCCAAAGGTTCTGAATCCCAGGTCCGGTTAAGTGCTTAGTGTAGGACTTGGTACAAAGTAAATGCTTAATAAATATTAGTTTATTCTTAATTTGTAATTACAGTCACCATTAGTATCCTATCTCAATCAGAAAACCAGTGTTAAAATTACCGCTGGTGGGGGCTGTGGGCTGGTGTCTCCACTGCCGACCAAGGAGAGCAGGCTCCGCTCGGCGCTATCTTCCGCGACCTGGCCGTCAGCCCCACGTCGCCGGCCTGGAGGGGCGAAGAGGACGATGGGGCCGAGGCTTCCTCGGGGGGCATTGGCTCTCTGGATTATCAGGAGTTTGTAGTTGACATTGAATCCAGCCTGAGGATGGAAGGTGTGGAACTGAAAGAAGAACGGCAAGATGAAGATTTTCCAATACCTTTACCAGAAGATGACAGTATTGAAGCGGACATCCTGGGTGTACCTGGCCCAGAGAACCAGCCTGACTCACCAGAAGTTAATGGAAATAAAGTGAGAAAGAAATTAATGGCTCCAGACATTAGCCTGACACTGGATCCTAGCGATGGTTCTGTGTTGAGGAGATCGACTTAGATGGCTTGGACTCACCATTGGAGAACAGTAACGAGTTTGAGTGGGAAGATGATGTTCCAAAACCCAAAACTACTGAAATCATTAGGAAAGGCTCAATTACTGAGTACACTGCAGCAGAGGAGCAAGAAGATGGGCGACGCTGGCGCATGTTCAGGATTGGGGAACAAGACCACCGGGTTGATATGAAGGCAATCGAACCCTATAAAAAAGTCATCAGCCACGGAGGATATTATGGGGATGGATTAAATGCCATTGTTGTGTTCGCTGTCTGTTTTATGCCAGAGAGTGGTCAGCCCAACTATAGACACCTGATGGACAATCTCTTTAAGTATGTTATTGGCACTTTGGAACTGTTAGTAGCAGAAAACTACATGATAGTTTATTTAAATGGTGCAACAACTCGAAGAAAAATGCCCAGTCTGGGATGGTTCAGGAAATGCTATCAGCAAATTGATAGAAGGTTACGGAAAAACCTGAAATCTCTAATCATTGTACAGCCCTCTTGGTTTATCAGAACACTTCTGCCTGTTACAAGACCATTTATTAGCTCAAAATTCAACCAAAAAATTAGATACATCTTTAATTTGGCAGAACTAGCAGAACTTGTTCCCATGGAGTATGTTGGCATACCAGAATGCATCAAACAAGTTGATCAAGAGCTTAATGGAAAACAAGATGAACCAAAAAGTGAGCAGCAGGTTTGGCCTCAAGTTAAACAAGACTGAAGAATGTGCTGTTGAAGCCGTGTTCTGTTTTACATTCTTGATGCATTTCTTGGCTTGTATTTTTGTGTAATCTGTTACAAAATCGATTTGACTTTTTAATGGACTTTTGTCCAAGGGACTGTTCACTGCTGTTTTGGTTTTTTAAATCTCTTGAATTTAGCTCTTCAGTGGCTGCTTACATTGTACTCACTTTATATTTTCTATTGCTAAATAGCAGAGAACTACACTTTATATAAACAATTTTTGCATTTGTTTGTTGAATAATGCATCTTCAGTAAAATATTTATATGCATAAATGGCAAAGGAAAGAATATATATTTTTATGTTTTTGAACAATATTTTTTAATGTATACCTATCTTGTGGAAGAATATGGAGGTAAATAAGACCATGATTTTGTAAAGTGCATGTTAGAATTTTTGTTTTTGTAAATGGTGGAATACATTTCCTGGGTAACTTAAAAAATTAAGTTGCTATGCTCTAAGGCAAGAGACAGTTAAACTGATCCTCATGAATACCCAAAGATAATGTACATAATCTTAAATAGGTTAGTACCATCCCAAGCTCACTTGACGTGTATAGTTCTTTAACTCAAAAGTGCAAATACAAGTGTATAGCACACTTTCTCCTTTTTAAAAACAAGTCAAAAAGCCATTTTTCAGAACTAGAGAATTCTAGAGGCTAGAAATTAGAGTCTGTATGTATGTATATTTGGGACATTATATCTTCTGACCCAAAGTCAGAACTGTTATAAAAATCTTGGATTTGTTCACTAATGTGAAATAAGCCGTGTGTCCAGGATATTGCCCCCCTGAATGCTTGAGTACCATGCAGTACTGCAGAGAATGTGATGAGTTTTCACTGTCACTCTTCTGTAGAACACAGGGGCTGCTTTTAAAATTACCCTCACTGTGGGCACTTTACCAAAATACTTCCATGTCAGTTATTTGAACTCAGTGGTAGTTTGGCCTAGTAAGATATTGTATGTTTTCAAGTTTGTTGAATAGTGTTTGACAGTTCTGTAAATTAGATTAACTTTGTAGGTCTTTTGTTTTGCTTTGAGTATATGAAGTGATTTATTGATACTGGTTAAGATCCATTATATACAAGTAGAAACTGTAAATTGTACAAAGAACTATTACAAATATTGATAAAGACAGTTCTATAGACAAAACAACTAGAAAAGTTTTGACAGACAAAGTAGAACAAAAATTGTTCTATCAGATTTCAAGCTTACTAAAGTTTTGCTAGGCAAACTTTAGATTGAAAATATGTTCAATGGGTTTATATAGTTTAAAACTTAGGTATAATGTAAAAATGATTTTCTCCTCTCATGGCAAATGGGAGAGGAACCAAGACAACTTTGTACCCCAAATCTATACAGTTTGAAAAATATATGTCTAGGAACAAAGAAAAAAAAATTACTGCTGGTAAATGTGTAATAAAAACTAAGAAATAAATCAAATCACCTCTTAACCCACAGGTACTATTGACTCATTTAATTTCATATGTACTACTCATGGGTTCTCAAGACCTATTAATTTTATTTTTTATAAAAGTAAAAAATTTGGGCTGGCAATTTAGCTCAGTGGTTCTGGTGCCTGCCTCACAAGTGCAAGGTCCTGAGTTCGATCCCCGGTACCATAAAAAAAAAGAAAAAGTAAAAAATTTGTGTTACAAATTTTTATGCTAAATTTTTATTTGTAAACACAAGTAAATATTTGTAACAAAAATTAATTTTCAAAACATTTAGAACAAAGTTTCTTACAGCATTGATTACAAATTGGCATTTTACAAGTGTCACATTGGAGAGCAGTTTTTCTGTCCTTTCTGCTGGGTCATATGACACATCTTTTTTTTTTTTTGCTTTTGTCAGTAGTTTGTCTGGACTCATCTATAACAGGAACCTCCATTCCTGGGATTTCTGCTATAGTTTTCATACTTTTATGGACACTTTATCAGTAGCCATTCTGGAATACAGATTTTCCTCAGTTAACTGCATCCCAAGGGTTTTAATAAAATAAAAAAGTTTTATTATTTCACCTTATTGTGTAAACTGGTACAATATGTGGGAGTTAACACCCGAAACATTTAAAATGGCATAAAAAATTGCCATTGGTCTATGGTTGGTTCTTCTGGATTTCGAATATAGTGTACGTTTTCCATCTAAAGTGTCAACTCGTCATTATAAAAGTGAATAATTTGGCCCGGGGATTTAGCTCAGTGGTTCCGGGGTCTGCCTCACAAGTGCAAGGTCTCGAGTTCGATCCCCGGCACAAAAGAAAAAAAAAAAAAAAAGTGAATAATTTCAGGCTTTTTTTTTCTTTTTGGTACCAGGGATCGAACTCAGGACCTTGCTCTTGCGCAGCAGGCAGTGAAACCACTGAGCTAAATCCCCAGCACTCAGTCTTTCTTTTCAACAGAATTGCTGTGTTACATACTTGATATTAATATGACAGTTTTACCTTTTTTTGGTACATAGGAAACTAATGTGTGATAGCAGAAAATCCAAATACTGATGACTGAACAGTTCGTTTTCTATTTGGTAAAAATTCAGGTGATATAGCCTGTAGGAACCAGCCTATAAATTTCTCCCTTACTTGGGAAACCAAAAAGGACGAAAGACAAAAGACACAAGGACGGGTTCGGTCCCCGGTACAAAAAAAAAAAAGACAAGGATAATTTGGTTGGTTTTTTATTTATTTATTTTTTTGGTACCGGGGATCGAACTCATGTCCTTGCGCTTTCGAGGCAGGCAGCAGAACCACTGAGCTAAATCCCTGGCCCCACAAGGATAATTTGGAAGAGAAGGACCAGGGGACTCTGTCTCTAATGGACAAATGACAGTCCCAAACTGACAATGCTCTCCACTTTTATTAGAATTGCGCAAAGAAAAAGCAAGCAAGCATGTGATCCAGGGTTCAGGGAAAGTTTATCAGGGTCTCATAATTTATAGACTACAACTGAATGTGTTTTTCTTTTTCTTTTTCTTTTTCTTTTTTTGGTACTGGGGAATGGAACTCGGACCTTCAGCTGGCGGCACCACTGAGCTACATCCCTGACCCTCTGAATGTGTATTTTTTTTTTTTTTTTTTTTGTATTTTCTTTGATTAGATTTCAGCTGCAGTTGTTTCGCTCCCTGAAACTGGTTGACGCTGGCTGCAGGCAAACGGCCCAAGAAGGGAATGGCTTTCTATCCCCTCCCCCGCCTCTGAAGAGGCGCTCCACCCAGGCTGCAGTCTCACACCTGGTTTCCCACAATAGCCCTCTTATTTTTTTCAAAGTGCCTACATAAATCTACATAAGTCAAATTTTTTTTTTTTAAATTCATCAAGAAGTTCCACTGAGCTATACCAACTGTCACCAGTAATATTTTAGTACCTTCAATATATTCCAACAGCCTAAGAACAACTCTTGTAGGATTTGATAAGGTGGGTTTGGTCAGATTAGCTGTCTTTATTTCAACACCAACATATATTTTGGCATTTAGCACATAATGAGTCTTAGCATCAGCTAAAATCTGCATCTTTATGACATATTTTGCTGGCTTGTTAGGCATAAACTTTTTTTTTTGGTACCAGGGATTGAACTCCGAACCTTGTGCTTCCGAGGCAGGCTGGCATAAACTTTTTAAAACCGACTCTTCCTCTAAATGGTACCAGCATCTTATCTATGATTAGGCAAAATCCAGGAGAATAACATTGACCTTTTGACAAATTCATCAAATAAGTCTGAGACAGCAGCTAACCTATTTTTACATTTTTTTCTAAATTAACTATCAAATGTAAGGCAACATACTAAAAATGAAAATCGACCCAGACTCATTGTAGCATGAAAAATGGGTCTTCCGGTTTCATTTGTTATCCACATTGAATAAACATATCTTTCATGGCCAGACTTAAAAAACAGTAAAAACTATGACTTAGGTTAGTGCTTTGACTCAGGAATAAAGTGATATCTTATTTCCTACAGATAGGTCCTCAAGATCCAATATGTTCCTGTAGAACCCTAGACAGTGAGCATGAATCTCGTGCACTCTGTACTAAGTACTCCTTGTGCTGGGAGACTAGAAACACTGAGTAAGTATGGGTGCCGACTGTAGGTCTCAAGTCCCTGTTCAGATGCCAACTGTAGCCAAGCCTGGGTCCTGAGCCCGGTGTTGGGCACTACCTACGGCCATCCCACCTGGCTGGCCTTGTTCCATGACCTAGATCCCACTACTTTGTTCTCCTTGGGGCGGGGGAGAAGGGGCTGGCAATAAGGATGAATGACAAAGAGACATGGAATCAGAGACAGGGAGTCAGTTTAACATGTGGGCAGAGAGAGGACTCCGAGTTAGGCGGAGGAAACGGCCCCCACCCCAGCCTGGCCCCTCTCACTTTTATTCACCCAAACCCGGTACAACCAATCGAATTAAAACAAGGTTCATCTGCTTTCCAGTATCCATTAGTACATACTCTGGTAAACAACTAAACCTCAGCTGTCTTCACTTTTCCCTAATATGCGTCCACCCCTGAGTGCAGCTTTCCTACTTTGTTTTGTTTCGGTTTTGTTTTTGGTACTGGGATCCAACTTAGGACTTTGCACTTGAGAGGCAGGCTCCATGCCACTGAGCTAATTCCTCAGCCCAGCTTTTCTCCTTTGTGCACACAGAGGAGCCCAATTAGGTCTTAATTCTCTGGTCACTCACAAGTAATGTTGACAAATTAAGAAAACACATTTAAAAAATGCGTCAGGTCTTCAAGACCTATCTGTAGTAGCTGCAGGTTATGACTGTTTTTCAAAACTTTTTTTTTTTTTTGGTACCAAGGATCAAACTCGTGTCCTTGCGCTTCCAAGGCAGGCCACGGAACCACTGAGCTAAATCCTGGCCCCCTGTTTTTCAAACTTTTCCACCCAGTCACAGGAGCAGAGGATGGGAGTCCTAAATGTATGACAAAAAGCTGTCCATCCGCACAGCGAAACCTTTCTTTTTTATTTTTTGAAACAGGGTCTTCCTATTCGGTTCAGGCTGCCCTTGAACTGACTATGCAGCTCAGCCTGGCCTTGAATTCTCAGCAGCCTCCTCAGTGCTGGGATTATAGGCATGTGCCACCATGCCCAGAGATTTTTTTTTTTTTTTAGTACCGGGGATGGAACTAGGGACCTTGTGCTTTCGAGGCAGGCACTGGAACCACTGAGGTAAATCCCTCGCCCTGCCCAGAGATTTTTGAAGGTATGACTTTAAGATTTATTTCAAGCCTGGCCTGGCAGCACATACCTGTAATGTCAATGCTCTGGGAGGCTGAGGCAGAAGTCTGCAAATTTGTCTGGTTGGGTTTCTTTGGTGGTACCAGGAATTGAACTTGGGTCCTTGCAGTTGCAAGGCAGGTGGCAGAGCCACTGAGCTAAATCCCCAGCCCAATATCCCAGCCCTTTTTAAATTTTAGGAAGACATTGCTAAGTTAAGACTCAAATTTGCAGACCTGGGCCGGGGATTTAGTTCAGTGGTACTGCTGCCTGCCTCAAAAGTGCAAGGTCCTGGGTTCAATCTCTGGTACCAGAAAAAGAGCTGGGATATAGTTCAGTGTGAAAGCTCTAGTACCAAAAAAATTCATTTCATGTTCATAAAATTCATTGTATTTTATAATATAAACTTTTTTTGGTACTAGGGATTGAACTCGGGACCTTGTGGTTGCAAGCCAGGCGTGGCACCACTGAGCTAAATACCCGGCCTTAATATAAACATATTTAAAAGAATATATAACCAAAAGTGAGTTTCGCAAGTATTGGACTCCTATACTACTGTGATAGTGTAGTTGGTACAATTGCTTTAGAAAACTGTCAGTATCATGCCGTTCCCTGTGACCCAACAATTCTACTCCTAGATGTACACTCAATAAAAATGTATAGCTGGGTGTGGTGGTACAGGCCTGTAATCCCAAGCACTTGGGAGGCTGAGGAAGATTGCCACAAGTTCAAGGCCAGCCTGGGCTACATATGGAGACCCTGTCTCAAAATAAAAAAGGAAAGAAAGCAATGTATACCTGTATCTACTCAAAGACATGTACTCAAATGTTCTTAGCAACACTACTTGCAAAAGCCAAAAACTGGAAATGCCACAACAGTAGAATGGGTAAATTATAGGTTGCTATTCAGAGCAAGAATGAGTGATCTACAGCTACATGCATATTATGTAAGAATCTTAGAGTAAATGAAGCCAGCTACAGAATTGTATGCGATATATGATTTCATTTATATAAAATTTAAAAACAGCCGGGCTGGGGATTTAGCTCAGTGGTTCTGCCGTCTGCCCCGCAAGTGCAAGGACCCAAGTTCGATCCCCGGTACCAAAAAAAAAAATTTAAAAACAGCCAACACTAACTCAGACTATTAAAAATCAGAATAGCTTTTTGCTTCTAGGGTATTGCTAATATTGTTCCTTTCTCTGTCTCTTTGTATGTGGGGGTGGGGGTGTTTGGTACTAGGAATTGAACCCAGGTCTTTCACACTGAACTAGATCTCTAGCCCTTTTTATTTTGAAAGAGTCTAAGTCACTGAGTTGCCCAGGCTGGGCTTGAACTTGTAACCCTTCTGCCTCAGCTTTCCTGAGCACTAGATTACAGGTGTGCACTATCATTCCTGGCTAATAATTCTGTTCCTTTGTTTGTTTGTTTTTTTGAGACAGGGGTCTTGCTACATAGTTCAGGCTTCCCTTGAACCGAGGCAATCCTCCTGCCTCAGCCTTCCAGGTGCTGGGATTACAGGTGGGCACCACCATGCCCAGCCTAATATTCTGTTTCTTGATCTAGGTGCTGGTTACTCAGATGTATTCACTTTGTGCGAATTAGTTGGACTGTACAGTTATGTGAATTTATCTTTGTGTATGTAATGTATGGGGGGCAGTTACCAGGGATCAAACTTAGGGCCTTGTGCTTGCCAGGCAGGCATGGTGCGGTTGAGCTAAATCCCCAACCCTATGATTTTTTTTTTTTTTTTTAGTATCTGGGATCGAACTCAGGTCCTTGCGCTTGCGCAGCAAGCAGCGAAACCCTATGATGTTTTAATTCAGTGCATTCACAATGTGTAAGCTTTCTTTAGTTTCAAAACATCATAATTGTTGGCTTTTCTTTTCTTGTTTTTTTTGCTTTACAGGGCATTGTGCCCAGAGCCTCACGCATGGTAGGCAAGCACCCTACCACTGAGATCCAATCCCCAGCCTTTTTATTTTATTTTTTGAGACAGAATCTTACTGACTTGCTCAGGCTGGTTTCAAGCTTGTGATCCTCCTACCTCAGCCTCCCAAGTAATTCAGATTACAGCATAGTGCCACTGCACCAGACACCAAGGATATTTTGATAGGAATTAGAGTAAATCTGTAGATTGCTTTGAGTATAAAAAATATTAAGTAAAAAAAAAAAGAATAAAACAATACTAAGTCTTCCAATTCTTTATTACAGGGTATCTTATTCATTTATTTAGGTTTCCTTTGGTTTCTTCAGTCTTAGGCAATATTTTGTAGTTTTCAGTACAAGTTTTTCACCTCCGTGGTTAAATTTACCCTAGCTATTTTATTTCTTTTCATACTATTATAAATAGAATTGTTGGCTGGGGATTTAGCTCAGTGGTTTCACCGCCTGCTGTGCAAGTGCAAGGACCTGAGTTTGATCCCCCGTACCAAAAAAAAAAAAAAAATAGAATTGTCTTCTTTTTTCTTTTTTTGGACAGCGTTTCACTCTTTAGCCCAGGCTGGCCTTGAATTTGTGACCATCTTCCTTCCTCAGCCTTTGGAGTGCTGGGATTACAGGTATGTGTCACCATGCCCAGTTGGAATTATTTTCTTAATTATCTTTTTGTATTGATAGCTGTAGTGTATAAAAACATAACTGGGCCGGGGATTTCGCTCAGTGGTTTCACTGACTGCTGTGCAAGTGCAAGGACCCAAGTTCGAGCCCCAGTACCAAAACAAAAAACAAAAAACCATAACTGATTTTTGTGTATTGATTTTGTACCTTGAAACTTCTGAATTATTAGCCCTAACGCTCTGTGTGTGTGTGTGTGTAAGTAATCTTTATGGTTTTCTAGAAATAAGATTACATTATCTGTGTATAGAGATAATTTTACTTGTAGCCAGACTTAGTGTTGCAAGCCCATAGTCTCAGTACTCTGGGAGGCTGAGCCAGGAAGATTGCAAATTTCAGCCAAACTTGGGCAATTTTATGAGATCCTGCCTCAAAATAAAAAATAAAGGACTGGAGATGTGGCTCAATGCAAAGGTCCTGGGTTCAATCTCCAGTACTGCCCCAAAATTTTTTTGTACTTATTTCTTTCAATTTTGATGCATTTTATTTCTTTTCTTTTCTTTTCTTTTCTTTTTTTTGTACTGGGGATTGAACTTGGGTCCTTGCTGCATTTTATTTCTTGTTCTTGCCTAATTTCTCTGACTGGAATTTCCAATACAATATTGAATATAAGTAGCAAAAGTGGGAGAAAGCTTTCAGTCTGTCACCACTGAGTGAGTTTGTTGTGGGCCTTTCTTTTCTTTTGGTGGTGTCCTGGGGATTGAAGTCAGCTTTGCACTTGCTCACCCATTATGCTATATTCCCGCCCTTTAAAGCTCATTTACTTTAATCTGGGCATGGTGACACATGCCTATAATCCTAGCCCTTGGGAAGCTGAGGCAGGAGGGTTGCTACAAATTCAAGGTCAGCCTAGATTACATAGTGAATTCAAGGCCATCCTGAAGTGGATAGGAAGACAATGTCTCAAAATACCAAAAGAATTAAAATAAAATTTTTATTTTGAGATGGGGTTTTGATAAGTTTCCCAAGCTGGCCTCAGTCCTGCTTCAGTCTCCCTTTAACTGTGATTACAGTCATGTGCACCATTCCCTGCTGGGATTTTCCATATATGGTGTTTATCATGTTGAGGAAGTTTCCTATTTCTAGCTCATTTGAATTTTGTCAGTAATTGAGGCAATGACTTTAACCTTTTCTTTTTCTTTTTCCCTTTCTTTTCCTTTCTTTTGGTACCAGGGATTGAACTCCGGTCCTTGCGCTTGCTCAGCAGGTGGCGAAACCACTGAGCTAAATCCCTGGCCCTTTTTCTTCTTTTTTTTAAATGTACTTGGGCTCAAACCCAGGGGTACTTTTACCACTGAGCTACATCACCATCCCTTCTTATTTTTATTTTGAGAAACGATCTCACTAAGTTGATTAGGCTGGACCTTGTAAGTACAAGGTCCTGAGTTTGATCCCCAGTACCGCAAAAAAAAAAAAAAAAAAAAAAGACTGACAGTTGATTAGGCTGGGCTCAAATTTGAGACCCTTCCAGAGTGCAGGGATTATAGTCATGTGGCACCACACCCAGCCCCGCCACCCTTAAAAATCTTGAAACAAGTTCACTAAATTGCCCAGGCTAGTTTTTTTTGTTTTTTGGTTTTTTTGGTTCCAGGGATCAAACTCAGGACCTTGTGCTTACGGAGGCAGGCGGCGACACCACTGAGCTAAATCCCCGGCCCTTCTTCTAATAGTTTTTAGTACCTAGATTTAGGTATTTATGGTCCATTTTTACTAAATTTTTGTGTGTTATTAAAGATAGCAGTCCAATTTCATTCTTATGTACGTGGATATCCAGCACTATTGATTGAAAAGACTGTTTCTCTCTTTGAATAGTCTTCATGCCTCTGTTCAAAATTAGTTGATCATAAATTAATTTACTTATTTATTTATTTATTTATTTATTTTGACAAGGTCTCGCTTTGTACCCCAGGCTGGCCTCAACCTCACAGTGATCCTGCTGCCTCTGCCTTCCGAATGCTGGGATTACAGGCATGTGCTACCACACCTGGCTGACCATAAATTTAAAGATTCTGGCCAGGCATGGTGGCACATGCCTCAGGAGACTGAGGTGGAGGATTCCCCTGAATTCAAGCCGAGCCTGGGGTATATAGTGAGTTCAAGGCCAGGCTGAACTACATAGCAAGACCCTGTCTCAAAAGACAAAAGAAGAGTTCTTCCAGGGATGGTGTCTAGAGGCTTTCACAGTGGTCCAGCACTTGACATACCATCATGGGCTTTCCTACAACACAGGCTTTAACAAAACCAGGCTGTTGTGAACCCCAGGTAATAGAATTGTTTACGTCTATACCAAGAAGGTTGGGAAGGCCCCCAAGTCTGCGTGTGTGTGTGTGTGTGTGCGCGCGCGCGCGTGCGCACGCCCAGGCAGGGTTCGAGGGGTTCATGCTGTGCGACCTAAAGTTCTTATGAGATAATCTAACATAGAGAAGCACGTCACCAGGCCCTGCAGTGTCTGCTTGTGTGCCAAGTGTGTCCCAGGCAGGATCAAGCATGCTTTCCTTATCGAAGAGCCGAAAATCATGGTGAAAGTGTTGAAGGCAGAAGCACAGAGTCAGAAGACCAGATAAATGAAGCTCTCTGTGTAATAAAAGACAGACTGGATTGAAAAAAAAAAAAGATTCATTGAATACACCAGTATTGAAGTTTGTTTTTTTTTTTTGGTACCGGGGATCAAACTCGGGTCCTTGTGCTTGGACAGCAGACGGCAAAACCACTGAGCTAAATCCCTGGCCCCTGAAGTATTGTTAATTTTACATCACAGTTTCTAAGTTCTAGGATATCAGGAGAAAATATCACTCAAGGTTATCATGTTCTCTTTTGAGGAAGGGATAGGACAAATTTTGTTTTTACACAGAATAGTTGCATCATCTTAGGAGGGACTACTATCTGTTCTTCTCTTTATTTGGAGATTAAATGTGGATTAAGGAGGGTGTATGGGTGCCAGATTGGCAGGTACTGGGCTTTTTTTGGTACCTGGGATCAAACTCGGGTCCTTCCGCTTGTGAGGCAGGCAGCAGAACCACTGACCTAAATCCCTGGCTGGTACTGGGCTTTTGATGGTCAATTTTAGGTATCAACTTGACTGGATTAAGTAATACCTGGAGAACTGCTAAATGTTACTTTTCAGCCTGTCTGTGAGAAGGCTTCCAGAGAGGATTGGCATGTGAGTCTGAGTGGCCTAAGTGAGGAAGATCCACCCCCATATCCGTGGGCACTATCCAATCACTTGCAAGTGCAAAGAGAACAAAGACAAGCAGAGGAAAGGAAAATTGTTCTCTCTTCAGGAGCTAAGATATTCTTTCTTCTCCTGTCCTTGGGGATTAGAACTCCAGGCTCTCCAGCATTTGGACTCTAGGACTTATATATAAGTGGTTTCCCATGTTCTCATGCCTTAGTACTTCACTGAGCCCTACTGCAGGCCTCCCAGGTCTCCAGTTTGCAGAGGACCTGTGGCAGGACTGCTCAGCCTACATATCATATGAGCCAGTTTACACATGCATCTCCTTCATCTGTCTCTCTATGTTACTGATTCTGTCTCTCTGGAAAATTGACTAATACAATGCCCAAACAATTGAAAGCATTAATTCAGACACAGTGGACCCTTGACTTAGGAACTCAGTTTGTTCGGGCGGTCTGATAATAACTCAGGTTGGTCAATTGAAGGCTCATTCTCCTCTACACAGCCTTCAAAGTCTCTTTCCTGTACACAGGCAGATCTGTGTCCTTAGAGAGACACTGACCCAGGATTTCTCACCTATCCCCCACACTGGAAAGGATTTTGCAGTGTTCCTTCCAGAACTCTTTAAGGGTTAAGTCTGTATCTGGGACCATCTGAAAGCACTAGTGGATGGCATTCAGTTCATAACTTAAGACTTTGTTTATAAGTTAAAATTAAAATTCCAGTCATAACCCAAGTTGTTTGTGTGTCATGTGGGTTGTAACTTGAGGGTCCACTGTACTTGTATATCAGTGTTCATAGCAGAATTACAATAACCCAAAAGTATCATTTTTTACCAACTAATGAATGATTTAAAAAGTGTGATATATATATATTATTTAGCTATCATGCTATATGGATGAACCTTGAAAACATTATGTTGAGTGACACGAACAAATATTGTACGATTCTACATATATGAAATGTCTAGAATAGGAAAATCCATAGAGATAAATAGTAGGTAAGAGGTTACCAAGAATGGGGGTAAGGTGGGTATAAAGAGTTATTATTTAATGACATAGAACTTTTTTATTTTATTTTTTTTTTGGTACCAGGGATCGAACTTGGGTCCTTGTGCTTGCACAGCAGGCGGTGAAACCACTGAGCTAAATCCCCGGCCCCTATATAGAACTTATGTTTGGGATGAAGAAAAGTTCTAGAAATAGTGGTACTCATTGTATAACATTATACATATACTTAATGCCACTGAATTGGACACTTAAAAATGGTTAAAATGGTAATTTTTTGGGGGGGTACTGGGAATCAAACTTGGGACCTTGCACTTTCTTTTTTAATTTAATTTTATTTTTTTACTTTTTGAAGGGGGAAAGGTTTATTTAGCTCACAGTTTGTAGAGGATTCAGTCCATAATCGACTGGGTCCAAGACAGGGTGACAAATGGCAGAAGAGCATTGCAGAGGAGAAAAAAGTTCATGGCAGGCAGAATACAGCAAGAGCAAGCAAGCAAGAGGGCAAGACAAGGCTCTTTTTGTTCCTTATATTGTATCCAGGCTACCGAGATTAGGGAGGTGCCAAACCAATGAGTGGACTGATTTAGTAATCACACACCCTTAATCCCAGCATCACACACTCTCAATACAGCCACCTGTGAGAAAGCTCCACTGGTGACCTCATGAGACTTTGGGGGGCCATCTAGACACAAACCATAACATATATTATCCATTAGAATTAGGAAACTATGGC